CAAATGACTTTGTGAAATTTCACAATGTTTTATTTCTACAACTTATGTAAAAAGCTGGAAGTTGAATAACAACCAATGCCGAGAATTTTCTATTTCTGGTGATGTTTGGTCTCGGTTCCAATGGCTATTGTGCAATAACAATTGTTTCTTTCCTTCCGTCTGCTGCCTGAAGGCCTGAGCTACAATGTCTCAGTAGGATTTGGGAGTATGTTCTATTCGAAATGTCTGTGTTTGTGGCTAATATCATTAGTGCATTAATATTGTCCCTGCATGTAAATACATAGAAATGCATTTCCTATGTATCCTTGCACTTCCCCTGATTACAACAGTCAATTGAAATGGAGAATTCAGTTAGTACAAAGCAAATACTGAACGGTGGAATTAGCTTTGAGGGACCCGGCTGGATGGGTTTTAGGCCATGGCCGTGTTTGTTCTAATCTCTGGCCTCCACATAGATACAAAGTGGAAGGACAGGAAAAAGAGTGGCGGTTTCCCAGTGGAACAGCACTGCCCTGGCACAGAGATGAAGGTTACAAGGAAGCACCGCCTTGGGATCATTCTCAGAGCCTGGTGAGGGTGGGGGGTGGGCCTCTTCCCAGATAAATCAGGCCGGTCCTTCTGCCTGCTCACTGTTCTGTGGCTCCGCTGAGGGTACTGACTAGGGGAGCACGAGGCAGTGTGTCCCCCCTCCTCCTTTCCCCAAGTGGGAGCCAAATCCTAGTGTCTCAGCAGCTGGAGGGAACCGAGTCTCTGGTCTCAGAGAGTTGCTAGCTCTCTCTCATTTATCAGCATCTCGAAAGCATCAGGGCCTCCTCCAGTAAGTCAGCCCATCAACGTGCTGCTCCCTTTTCGAGCGTCGTCGCTGTGAACTGAGTTTTGCACCAGGCATTCTAGACGGGCCCCTCACCCCTGCAAGAAGCCACAGCCCCGTGAGGGAAGCAAGATGGATATATCATCAGGCAGTGGGAGGAAAGCGGGAAATGGTACATAGGGAAGTGCTGAGTGGTAAAGACGTTAGCGTGTGAGGTGTCGTCAAGTTCTAGGCCTGCTGGACTCGGGAGAAGTACAGCTGAGAGCAAAACCTTCAAGGGTGGCAAATCCTCGGCCTAGGTCACCCAGTACGCAGTCCCAGGACAGCAGCAGGCACCGTTAGTCAATCGCATCACTCTGCTTTGGTGACCTCACATGTGGCCCTCAGGACAGTCTTGCACCCTTGGCTCTCCAGGAGGCCACCTCCCGGTCAGAGTCGACATGTGAGAGAAGACCTTTTCCCCTTTCCTGATCTAGGCAGATCCCCTCACTTTAGGTAAGGAAGTTTTCTCCAGAGAGCCCAGAAGTTAGAAGATACCTGGGACCACTGTGGCTGGTATTAGAACCCAGGTAGTCAGGTCATCATTTCATGTGCCACCTGTCCCAGGGAACTACAGTTAGGAGAAGACACCATAGGGCAGATCAGACCAGCTGGGGAACGGTTCACAAAGCAAGTCGGATTGGAGGAGAGGAAGTCGGAAGCCGGAACAGTCTCTTCTGAGACACCAAAGGACAGGAATGAAGGAGCCAAGCGCTTGTTGCCACCAGGCAGAATGGCTGCAGGGCTTGGAACATGCTGTGATTTCCCTTTGGTCCCTTCTCCCTCCCTTCTCACGCTCCCAGCCAACAGGATCCAGCTCTTGATGTCTGATGGAGTTGGGGCAAGCTTGGGATCTTGCTGGGAAGTAGACAAGTTTGACAAATGTCACGGCCTGTGGAGAAGTCATCTGGATATCAAAGCACATTCCACGCTGTTTAAGGGTCCCTGAGAGGCAGAGAAGGTGTGGGGCTACAGCGAGGAAGCCAGAGGGTGGGGCTGCCGATAGACCGGGGCCCTCGGGAAGGACTGACCCTCCCCCTCCCAGCCCCTCCCCGTCGGCCTCCCTCTCCCAGCCCTGCGCTGGCCTCAGCGTGGAGGAGGGTGCTTGGGAGCTCTGGGAGGGGGTGTCCTGGATGTGCTCATGCTCTAAAGAGAGGCACCAAAAGCTGGAACACAACTGGCAAGAGCAGAGCCTGGCTCTTGGAGCTTTTCATTCTAATTCTCTCCTCTACTTGAAGCATCAGCCTGAGGAGGGAAATGTGCATTTTGAAAGTTCTTGGTCCATTTTAGAGGAGGAGATGAGGGATGTTGTGTTAGAAGGAATCAGGGGGCTTCCAGAAGCCCAAACACTGGTTGCATGGAAGGGCCTGGGTGACCTTCTACATCAGTTGTGGTTTGACTCTAGTTTGTGGGTCACCCTTGCCCCATGCCTCACCCTCTAGTCCTACAGACCAAAGGGAAACTAAGACCAGCCATCAGATTAGAGCTCAGTGCAGTCGATTTAGATGCAATCTAGACTGAGTTAGAAACAATAGAACTGGGATCTTCCTAAGAAAGATCTTTGAATTCTTTACATATTTTGTAAGAATGACCAAATCTTGGCATTTTGCCTTAAGATTAAGAAACGAGCCCCCCCCCC